TTTAGGGGAAGTGGGGGTTGTGTTTTGGTTTGTTTGGTTCTTGTCTTCTTTTTATCTATCTTTTTCTCTCTTTTCTCTATATCTTGTCTCTATGCCTCTGTCACTCTCTCACTTTCTATTTTTTCTCTCTCTTTTTCTTTGTCTGTCTGTCTGTCTCTCTCTATCCAACTATCTCTCTCTCTCTTACCCACCTCTCTTCTCTCTATTCATTCGATTTTTTTCCTCTCTTTTTCTTCATCTGTTTATCTTTTGTCCGTTATTTTTGCTTCTTTGTCTGTCTCATCTGTTTTTTTTTCTTTTTTTCTATTTTATCTTTAGTCTCTTTTTCTCTTTTATTTACTTGTCTTTTTCCTCTTTTCACCCTTATCCGTTAATCGCACAATAATATCAATAATAGTAATGATAATAACAACATTAATAATAACAATAATGATAACACTGACAATAATAGTGATAAAACAAATAGTGGTTTACCCAAATAGACGGAAGATGATATAATAAAAGTAAGATGAAATAATAAAAGACATTAATAAAATCTTATCAACCACACACCACAGTTCAAGCCGAAACTCAAGGAAACAGTAGAATGTGAGGGAGTAGTGGTAGGAGGTATATTTGCCTGCTACAACGCCACCGACACGGCAAAACCGGTGGATGAAGGAAGCAGCGTGAGGTAAGTAACCAAATATATATGTGTAAATATGCATGTATATGTATATGTATATGGTATATATATATATATATATATATATATATATATATATATATATATATAAAATCTACTTTGTTTGCATACGGCACCTCTGGCACACAGCACACACATACACCCACATATATATATATATATATATATATATATTATGGTTGTATGTAGTGTGCTGTGTGCCAGTGGTACGCAAACAAAGTAGATTGTTATCCCTGGTAAAGCCCCATGAAGTGGTAGTGTGGCTAAGGAGCTCATTTCGGTGTGGGTTTGTTCCAGCATTACCCCCTCTGTCGCACAATATCACAGCGAACATAAGTAATAAGAAGTAAGATTAAAATCATCTTTAAGAATTATGTTAAAATGAATAAAAGACTAAAACAATATAATGAAAACTTACTTTAAAAATATGTATAAAATTCAAGAAAACAATGCAGCAAATATATATATATTATATATATATATATATATATATATATATATATATATATATATATATAATAAGAGAGATTACCAAAGCAAAATCAAAGCTTATTAAACTTCAAACTAAAACTGGTAATATTAATAAAAACAAGATCACATCCAGCTCCTATATGCAAGGCAAAGCAACCTCAGACTTATCTTTATCTCCCTTCGCAGTTTCCAGGGCGTAGAGCCGGTTTCACTCAGAGAAAAAAGGTGGAAAATAAACACCATGTCTCTGCTGTGATCTCTCCCGAACTGTTTTTTTGGTGAAAGGAAGGGGGGGGGGGGGTGACAGTGACGTCACTACATACATTTTTCTAAAAAGTAAAACAAAATATAACCCTGACCAAGTGAATAAAACTAAAATTATTGTTAAATGGGGAAAAAATGTAAAAGAATCAAATTAATATATATGAGTAAAATACTACTAAAAATGACGTTGATAAAAGTGTTCTACCTAACCAATAAAATCTTTATCTGATTTATTTACCACTGAACTGAACAAGGAAACTAAAAGATAATTAAGAATAGACATGGCGACAAAGAATCGCACTGGAAAAATAAAAACTAAGCAAACTAATATAAAACGAGAATCAAAGAAAATGTACCAAAATGGGCAAACTAAAACAAACAAGAAGTAAGGAACTCGAAAGAAAATACTAAAATACAAAAAATAAAAAGGATGAAATGTAGGTGGGAAGAAGACATGACCAAGTTATGCATAACATGAATAAGGGCAAGGCTGCTCGCTATCGCGAGAGGTAAAGACGCGTGGTGGCGCCTAGCCACACTACAATATATATGTATATACATACACATATATATGTGTATCTATATGTATACTGTACATATAAATACATATGTGTATCTTTATGTATACTGTACATATAGATATATATGTATGCATATATACATATACATATATAATATATATATATATATATAAATATATGTATATCTGTTTAAATATATAAATACATATATATGTGTGTGTATATATATGTATAAATATATATGTATAATATATATATGATATCAATATATATGTATAATATGTATATATATATATATATATATATTATATATATATATATATATATATATATATATTATATAATATAATATATATATATATATATTCACACATACACACGTTATATATATAATATATTTGTGTATGTGTGTTGTGTGTGTGTCGTGCGAGCGCGTGCACACGTGCATGTATAATACCACGATCATAAAAACAACAATATCAGTATTGGATATTCTAACACAAACGCTATTCAATAGTGTGACACCAGATAATATTACTTACCCACAATTCCAAAGCAACTGAAATCAGGAAATATTTATCCCCTCCTCTTCCTCTCCCTCTCTACAGCACCAACACAGTATTGTTCCTGACTTTTGGCTTGTTAGTCATCGCCATCGTCTGCGTCGCCGTCAGTGTCGCCATCTATCGGAAGAAAAAAACGGTAATCGCGCAACAAGGCAAACCTGGAGAGAAAACTTTAAAAGGTAAAAACATCGGCATAAAAGTTGCTCTACCGTGGAAACAACACGTTATTCGCAGATATTTTTTTTGTGATGTTTTTTTTTCTCTTTAAGTAATATGTATATATATATATAAAATAAATAATAATAATAATAACTAGAAGCATTCAGGGAGAGCAAGGCAAGGCAATAAGGTCACTGATGCAATAAAGATATTCGCACTTAGAGATTTGCATTAAATTAATCTTTCTCAAGTACACAGGTGACGTCCGTAAAACATAACGATGGGGGTAATGATGCATTCATTAAAAAAAAAAAAAAAAATACAAATCGGAAGTCTTTAAGAAATGTATGGTAATTTCGCATTACTATTATTATTATTATTATTTTATTTATAATTAATTTATTTTTTTTAGGGGGTAACACTTTCAATTAACGCTAAACTTTAAAATTGATTTCAGCGAAGAGAGTTGTTGTGATTCACGCCTTCGATGACAGCAAGTTGCAAGAAAAGTGTAAGGAATTGTGTCTTGCAATCGGTGCTCACCTGGGAGACTCTAAAAACGTGAGTAAGAGAGGAGGAGAGAGGGGGGAGAAGGAGTGGGAGGGAGGGAGAGGGAGAGGGAGGGAGGGGGGCGGAGAGGGAGAGGGAGAGGAGAGAGGGAGAGGGAGGGAGAGGAGAGAGGGGGAGAGAGAGAGGGGGGAGAGAGAGAGAGAGAGAGGAGAGAGAGAGAGAGATGAGAGGAGAGAGAGAGAGAGATGAGAGAAGAGAGAGAGAGAGAGAGAGAAGAAGGGAAGGAAGAAGAGAGAAAGAAAGGAGGGGAAACAGAAAGAGGACCAAAAAGAAAAGAGAACAGACACAGAGTAAAAAAAAACACATAAAAAAATAAAAGAAATAAAAATTTCTCATTCACAGGTACAGGATATCTACCTGACGAAGGACCCCTCCCTCCTGCAGGACCCTCAGTCTTGGGTCACGGAAAAGGTCATGGACACGGGCACTCGTCGGGGAGAAGAACAGGGAAGAACGAAATTTGTTCTTGTTCTTTCTCCGTTCATGGAACATCTACAGAGAGCTTTGGACGAAGAAAAAGAAGAATTTGGTAAGTGTGTTTGTCGGTGTGTGTGTTAACTGTCATTTGTCATTTTTATTGTCATTTATTATTATTATAAGTAGTAGTAATTAGTAGTATTAACTGTATTATTATTATAAGTAGTAGTAGTAATTAGTATTAACAGTATTATTAGTAGTCGTAGTGGTAGTAGTAGTAATTAATAGTATTAACTGTTGATTATCAATTTTACCATTATTATTATCATCATTATTACTGTTATCACCATCATCATCATTATGATCAGCATCATTATCACCATCATTCTCACTGCCATCATTACCTTCATTACAAGCATTTACATCATTATCATTATTATTACTATGATTATCATTACCATTATTATCATCATCATTAACCATAAATCATTACCATCATCATATTTCCTCTAATTAAATGGAAGGAAAGACGGTATACGGTGAACGAAACGCACTGAATCTCCAACGAAATAATATGAAACCGGACGCAAGTTAACGATTATTTTCCCCAGATTTCTTCGGTCGCCAGCCTCACCCGCGCGACCTCGTGCTGAAGACTCTTCTCCGCCATCTTGCCACGCCCAAACTCAAGGCGGATTACCGGCGCCTCTTCCTTGTTAGGTATTTGGTCTTTGTTTAGTGTGTGTGTGCGTGTGTGAGTGTGTGTTTAGTGTGTGTGTGCGTGTGTGTGTGTGTGTTTATGTGTGTGTATGTGTGTTTATGTACGTGTATGTGTGTGTGTGTTTGTGTATGTTTATGTGTGTGTGTGTATGTTTATGTTTGTGTATGTGTGTATGTTTGTGTGTGTATGTGTTGTGTGTGTATATATGTATTTGTGTGTGTATGTTTATGTAATTTGTGTATGTTTATGTGTGTGTGTATGTCTGTGTGTGTATGTTTATGTGTGTGTGTGTGTGTTTTTTGCCTAAACTAACGTCCACTGCCTCCTTTTCCCAACAGATTCGCTGACCTCCACGATCACCGGTCAGGTGACCTCCCTAACCTCGTCCCCGGGAAGAGGTTCGTCCTGCCAGGTCACGAAGGCCAACTCCTGGAAGCGATAGGGTGAAGAGAGGTCACATTCCACCGCGAAATCTGTGTCGGTTGATAGCGACTTATGCTATTAGAGATTGTGCTGACTCTGCTATTGTCATGCGCGGTCTGTTGTTGAGAAGGCCTTGGGCGGCTAGTGGGCGAGTTTCGCTTCGTAAAGAATCAATTTTGCTTCGTGGTGGTTCGGTTTCGCTAGAGTGGCACAGTTTGGCTTGTAGAGTGGGTCACAGTTTCGTTCGTAGTGGCTTTTCGCTTTGATAGTGGATTGGTTTTTCGCTTCATGTAGTGGATCAGTGTCGCTTCATATAGTGGATCAGTTTTGGTGGATCAGTTTCGGTTGGATCAGTTTCGCTTCATTAGTGGATCAGTTTTTCGCTTCATATAGTGGATCAGTTTCGCTTCACAGTAAGTGGATCAGTTTCGCTTCATATGTGATCAGTTTCGCTTCATGTAGTGGATCAGTTTCGCTTCATATAGTGGTCAGTTCCAGTTTCGCTTCATGTAGTGGATCAGTTTCGCTTCATATAGTGGATCAGTTTCGCTTCATATAGTGGATCAGTTTCGCTTCATGTAGTGGATCAGTTTCGCTTCACAGTTTCGCTTCATATAGTGGATCAGTTTCGCTTCATGTCAGTTTCGCTTCATATAGTGGATCAGTTTTCGCTTTCATATCAGATAATCAGTTTCGCTTCATTCAGTTTTCGCTTCATGTGGAAGTTTCGCTGTGGATCAGTTTCGCTTCATATAGTGGATCAGTTTCGCTTCATGTAGTGGATCAGTTTCGCTTCATGTAGTGGAATCAGTTTCGCTTCATATAGTGGATCAGTTTCGCTTCATATAGTGGATCAGTTTTCGCTTTCATATAGTGGATCAGTTTCGCTTCATATAGTGGATCAGTTTCGCTTCATGTAGTGGATCAGTTTCGCTTCATATAGTGGATCAGTTTTCGCTTCATGTAGTGGATCAGTTTCGCTTCCTATAGTGGATCAGTTTCGCTTCATATAGTGGATCAGTTTCGCTTCATGTGGATCAGTTCGCTTTTGTGGATCAGTTTCGCTTCATGTAGTGGATCAGTTTTCGCTTCTCATATAGTGGATCAGTTTCAGTTTCGCTTCATATAGTGGAATCAGTTTCGCTTCATCATATAGTGGATCAGTTTCGCTTCATATAGTGGATCAGTTTCGCTTCATATAGTGGATCAGTTTTGCTTTATAAATTAGTGGATCAGTTTTTTCATAATAGTGGATCAGTTTTTCATATAGTTAGTTTTCGCTTGTATAGTGGATTCATTTCTTTCATGTAGTGGATCAGTTTCGCTTCATATAGTCAGTTTTCGATAGTGGATCAGTTTCGCTTCATGTAGTGATCAGTTTCGCTTCACAGCAGTTCATGCTTTCGCTTCATATAGTGGATCAGTTTCGCTTCCATGTGGATCAGTTTCGCTTTTCGCTTCATATAGTGGATCAGTTTCGCTTCATGTAGTGGATCAGTTTCGCTTCATGTAGTGGATCAGTTTCGCTTCATGTAGTGGATCAGTTTCGCTTCATTATAGTGGATCAGTTTCGCTTCATATAGTGGATCAGTTTCGCTTCGTGGATCAGTTTCGCTTCATATAGTGGATCAGTTTCGCTTCATATAGTGGTTTCGTTATAGTGGATCAGTTTCGCTTCATATAGTGGATCAGTTTCGCTTCATGTAGTGGATCAGTTTCGCTTCATGTAGTTGATCAGTTTCGCTTCATATAGTGGATCTGTTTCCGCTTCCATATAGTGGATCAGTTTCGCTTCATATAGTGGATCAGTTTCGCTTCATATAGTAGTGGATTCAGTTTCGCTTCATGTAGTGGATAGTTTCGCTTCATATAGTGATCAGTTTCGCTTCATTATAGTGGATCAGTTGTTCGCTTCTTTAGTGGATCATATAGTGGATCAGTTTCGCTTCATATAGTGGATCAGTTTCGCTTCATATAGTGGATCAGTTTCGCTTCATATAGTGATCATCAGTTTTTCGCTTCATATAGTGGATCAGTTTCGCTTCATATGGATCAGTTTCGCTTCATATAGTGATCAGTTTCGCTTCATATAGTGGATCAGTTTCGCTTCATAGTTATATCGTGATCAGTTTTCATGTAGTGGATCAGTTCTTTCATATAGTGGATCAGTTTCGCTTCATATAGTGGATCAGTTTCGCTTCATATAGTGGATCAGTTTCGCTTCATATAGTGGATCAGTTTCGCTTCATGTAGTGGATCAGTTTCGCTTCATATAGTGGATCAGTTTCGCTTCATATAGTGGATCAGTTTCGCTTCATATAGTGGATCAGTTTTCGCTTCATATAGTGGATCAGTTTCGCTTCATATAGTGGATAGTTTCGCTTCATATAGTGGATCAGTTTCGCTCATGTAGTGGATCGCTGTGGATCAGTTTCGCTTCATATAGTGGATCAGTTTCGCTTCATAGTGGATCAGTTTCGCTTCATATAGTGGATCAGTTTCGCTTCATAGTGGATCAGTTTCGCTTGGATCAGTTTCGCTTCATCAGTATGGAGTTTCGCTTCATATAGTGGATCAGTTTCGCTTCATATAGTGGATGTTTCGCTTCATATAGTGGATCATGTAGTGGATCAGTTTCGCTTCATGTATGTGGATCAGTTTCGCTTCATATAGTGGATCAGTTTTCGCTTTCATTTAGTGGATCAGTTTCGCTTCATATAGTGGATCAGTTTCGCTTCATATAGTGGATCAGTTTCGCTTCATATAGTGGATCAGTTTCGCTTCATATAGTGGATCAGTTTCGCTTCATATAGTGGATCAGTTTTCGCTTCATATAGTGGATCATCTCGCTTCATGTAGTGGATCAGTTTCGCTTCATTAGTGGATCAGTTTCGCTTCATATAGTGGATCAGTTTCGGTGGATCAGTTTCGCTTCATGTAGTGGATCAGTTTCGCTTCATATAGTGGATCAGTTTCGCTTCATATAGTGGATCAGTTTCGCTTCATATAGTGGATCAGTTTCGCTTCATATAGTGGATCAGTTTCGCTTCATATAGTGGATCAGTTTCGCTTTCATATAGTGGTCAGTTTCGCTTCATATAGTGGATCAGTTTCGCGTGGATCAGTTTCGCTTCATGTGGATCAGTTTGCTTCATAGTGGATCAGTTTCGCAGTTTCGCTATATAGTGGATCAGTTCGTTCATATAGTGGTCAGTTTCGCTTCATATAGTGGATCAGTTTCGCTTTATAGTGGATCAGTTTCGCTTCATCAGTTTCGCTTCATATAGTGGATCAGTTTCGCTTCATATAGTGGATCAGTTTCTCATATAGTCATTTCGCTTTCGCTTCATATAGCAGTTTCGCTTCATATAGTGGATCAGTTTCGCTTCATGTCAATATAGTGGATCAGTTCGCTTCATATAGTGGATCAGTTTCGCTTCATAGTGGATCAGTTTCGCTTCATAGTGGATCAGTTTCGCTTCATAGTGGATCAGTTTCGCGTGGATCAGTGCAGTTTCCTTCATATAGTGGATCAGTTTCATGTAGTGGACAGTTTCGCTTCATATAGTGGATCAGTTTCGCAGTTCGCTTCATATAGTGGATCAGTTTCGGTGGATCAGTTTCGCTTCATATAGTGGAGTGGATCAGTTTCGCTTCATATAGTGGATCAGTTTCGCTTCAGTTTCGCTTCATATCAGTTTCGCTTCATATAGTGGATCAGTTTCGCAGTGGATCAGTTCGCTCGATCAGTTTCATACAGTTCAGTTTCTGTGGATCAGTTTCGCTTCATGATCAGTTTCGCTTCATATAGTGGATCAGTTTCGCTTCATATAGATCAGTATAATCAGTTTCGCTGTGGATCAGTTTCGCTTCATGTATGGATCAGTTTCGCTTCATACAGTTTCGCTTCATATATCAGTTATCAGTTTCGCTTCATCAGGCTTCATATAGTGGATCAGTTTCGCTTCATAGTGAAAGACTCAAAAAGTGAACAAGAACGAAAAATGGTCGCGAGGACTCGAGTGGATCTCTCAGTGCCGATGCAAAAAAAAAAAAAAAAAAAAAAAAAAAAAAAAAAAAAAAAAAAAAAACAATAATAATAATATAATAATAAAAACACGTGGGCTATGACTCAAAGTGGTGAAATGATCACGTGACAGACACCATGCGATGGACCAACAGAAGCTAAGGAAACGATGAGTGCTAAACATCAAGCAGTCCCAGTCGGTCGTGATGTAGATAGCAGCGTGTCATTACTCTTGGAACCAGAAATGAACTAGGATTGCTGGTGGAAAAAAAATAGTGATACAGTATTTAAAATCTGCAGGAATACAGAAAAGCCCTGAGGCTGGTATGTTTCCTACCTTAAGAAATGGGTATATGACAACCAGCTAATAAAAGGACGCCCAGTGATGGAGATTGTGGACTAGGTTTCGGAGTAGCGTCCAGCAGCCATTTTCCTTTTGGTGGCTCATCTAACCTAACCTAACCTAACCCGTTTGAAGTGATTTATTGCACCATCTTCTTGGAACTTGATGGTCAGGAACTAGAAACCGAAGCCAGGAACATGGGAGTGCTAATCAGGGACATAGGATTAAGAAGAAAAGGAAGGATTTATATGGTAGAAAAATCCACAAGGCACAAACTCATTTCAATAAAACTAGTTTGTGCGTTGTAGGTTTTTCTAAGATTGTATCAACAGAGCGTTTTTCCATTCAAGGACTTTTATGATATAATAAAACAACTTTGTAAAATTGAACAAATGGCGGAGTGATCTTACGTTAGATATATCTTGTTTAACAATAAATAGAAATAGGTTAGTTTATAGGTTTGTACATGGTTTGTTCAGTTTTTGTGTATTTGATTCTGTCATGATTATTATTACTTTTACATTTATTCATTTAGAAATGCAACCTAATTTGTGTGTATATTTTGGTTAACAAACTTTAGGCCACGGGGTAATTTCTATAGTACCTACATATGACTATCTCTCACAGATCAATAACTTGTAATCTTTCCATAAAGTGATCTTGTCCATTACACTATTCGTAACTAGCAATAACTTAATCTGAAAAAAGGATAGTCACTGAACAGGGCTATGGAGATTATTATATATTGGTCGAGGGTGACAGAATAAAAAAGTTTGAGGACCATTGCTCGCTGATTATACAAGCTACCATCCTTAGTGCACTGAAAGAATAAG